AACAGCTAAGGGAGATAAATTAGGACGTTATTTATACAATTATTTATCTTGTAAACTACATTTTAAATTATGAAATATGTTTGTTTAATTTTAAAGATATATGAATGTACCAAATACAAATTTCCGTTAATTGCTTCATTAAAAATGTAAATTGTTATTATTAAATTATGAATTTATAGATAAATGTAAATATCAGACATAGAGATATGCTTTCCGCCGCCACTGTTAAATCTTGTATAGTGTTTATAGTTCTTATAAGAGTGTGTGCGAGTGGGTGGCTGTGGGTAGTGGGTGGGTGGGGTGGTTGGTGCGCCGTCGCCACCGCCACGGAAAACGAACCGCCGCATGCGTAACTTATTTTTCTCGCCTTTCTTTCGCTTTTTCGCTGTTATCATTGTTTTTGTAGACTCTGCGTCAAGTACAAAAAGTCAAAAAGAGAGGAGAGGGGGCAAACGAGAGAGACAGAGAAAGAGAGAGAGAGAGATAAATAGAGAGAGTATTGCTCAGAAAATTGCTATCGATTATATATTTGCAAGAGAGGGAGAGAGGGAAGAAGCGCACTGTGGGGTCGATTCTTCACAGACTAGAATACTTCTTTAAGGAAGCTCTTTGGTAAAGAAAAACCAAGAAGTTTTTAAATATTTTCATAACTAAAGGCCATATAGAAGTGATCTTCAGTGCCCTATTTAATTATACATTATTTTAATTGGGAAGATCCACAATAAATTAAAAAAGATTATACAAATTTATTTTGAAATTAAAATAAATAAATAAATTTTTTTTTAGTCTTATTTAAAGTCGCTATTGTGTTTTTATATAGTTAGTTCCCCCCTTAGTTCTTTTACTTTTATTGTGTCGAGATTTCCATATTTCTAGCATGGGTAAAATTTTGAAATACATTTTCTATAATTCGGGTGAAGAATATTTGTGTTATCTTCATTTTTGAGTTAATTTTAAAATAGACGAAATAACGAAACAAATCAAAATGTTTAAATATTTCCAAAAAATACGTTGGCATAATAATTCCTTATTAGTCTGAAACACTGATAATACTATAACTAGTGGATTTTCACCCACTGTACCAGCCGCACTGATTTAAATTTCAATTCGGATTTTCCAGCAAACACTGATTTCCATTGCACAAGTTTGGGTGAAAGGTGCGCCTGTGTGGGTGTGTGTGCGCTGACGCAGTGGGAGTTTGTTGAAGTGGGAGATTCTGTAGGCACACACACGTAAAGAAAATCCAAAGAGTCACAGCTCTGAGCATTTTCAATTGCGAACTCTCTACAAAATATATAAATAAAAATAGAAAAAATAGGATTAACGAGGAAGAGAAGTTAAAGAATTTCAAAATTGTGACCCCTTTGCGCAAGCGCTCACTTTGCCCCTGTTATCTAGAATCTGTACAACCTTTTTTTTATAACTAACATTATATAGAGGAGGTGAGAAAACTATAAAAAAAAGTGTGACCATATGAATACAGTTAGTACAATTGTAACTACTACAATAACTTATTTTCTTAAATTCCAGTTAGGATTATTAAAGGTGAAGTAGTCTTTTGCTTTTTAAACAACTACATATTTAACCCAATTAGAATTTTCCAAAACTTCAAGCGCTTAAGTTACCTTCACGCATTGATAGCTACAAAATACTTGATTAAGAGTGCCTTAGTAACTGAGTGAGTGAATGTTCAGTTGCCTTGACATCGGCTTATAGCTTGGCGCTTATAGCATGCATTTCAGGGCACTCGGCGCAGTTTTTCCACCAAAACCTACGGAAGGGAAAAGCGCTGCGCACGCAACCCCGCAAAAAAAAAAAAACAGACGGGGCACAATACACTTACGGTCATGCAAATATGTATGCTGTAAATGATATATTTATCATAATTAATTTAATTAATTTATTATTAAATTGAAAGATACACGATTTTTAGTTTAAAAATTAAAAAAAGACTTTTAACAAGCTTATTTTGGTAGGTACTGGCACTGAAATATTAGTTTCCTAAAATTTTCTAGAGTAAAGTTTCCTTACTAGATACTTAAAAACTATTTTGAACTGATTTTTGTAAAAGAAACAAAATTGCCATATTTTTCTATTGCTTTTACAAACAGCAAACAGAAAGATCCCCATTAGTTTTTCCTGCATCCAGCAACGAGACCTAAGGGATGAACAAAATCAGGTTGCTCTTTGGCCATTCATATCCATGCTACATCCATCCCATCTTCGTCTGTCTGTCTGATTTCTGATTTCAGCCCAGTTCCAGAAACGAGTTTACTTTTTCGGGGCCTCCACTGTCGCCGGATGTTTGGCACGCGCAAGTGAAACGGACTTACAACCCCTAAAAGGGGGGTGGGATGGTGGTGTTTTACCTTCTGAACTCTGCCATATTGAGGGTGTTTGGGTGGTGCGAGCAGTGCATGCGTGGTGGTTTAAACAAAACCAGAAAAAAAAACCAGGATAAGACAGTGAGTGTTGTTATCATGGGTTAAAATTCAAGCTCGTCGAGTTTGCGTGTGTATTTGTTGCTGGTGGTGAAAGTTCTGGATATTTAGGGGTGGCCTTTTCCAGTTCCCGAATCTCTGCTCTCGATTTCACGACGGGGGTGTTGTTAACCCATATATAGTGGTGCTCTTCTGCCCAAAAGTGGGGGAGTTCAAAGAGGGGGGTACACAATGTGTATAATATTTGGCATATTTGGGCATTTGTATTTGTCAGGGCAAAGGTAACTGAGCACAGCTTCAGGGTCTTTCGATGCATCATTTCTAGTTGCGGGGGAGAAGGTTGTTACTCTCATTGAAGCTATATGGACAGAGGAAGACGGCCCGACTTTATATATAGCCATCTCAGGCGGCGAAGTCGACGCATGGGCGCAGTATTGATTTTTCACTGCGTCGACGTCGCTGCTTTGTCGCAATCACTCCATGGGGTGGTTTGTCGTGTCCTCTCTTTTCCGCCCGCTAGCTGCCTCTCTTTCTGCCCGCTGGCGCCCTCTCTTTCTGCCGCCGCGTTGCCGTCGTTGGATTCCGAGTTTCTGAGCAAACGCAAATAGAACTTGAGCACAGAGAGCCACTAAAAGCGGTGCCGAGTGGTTCGTACGGGAGCCCTATAATCTCGTCCAAAAAAATTGTTTTTTTTTATTTTCTGTGCAACAAAGAGTGTGTGTGCCAAAAATTCAAAACTTGCTAAAAAAAAATATCCAAAGAATAACCAAAATAAAGTTCTAAAAAATCAACAAAAATAGCCCCAAACAAATCGAAACAAATCCACACTTTGCCAACGAAATACCCGACACAAAATAATCCCTGAGGCAAGCAAAAAACATAAAAAAACAATTGATAAACATTTATTTCACTTGAAAATATTGCTTAGTTGGGCAAACCAAAAAACCAAAAAAAAAACAAAGTACTATTGAACCCTATATCAGTGCGCACGTGCAACGGCCCCCAAGAAAGCGAAAGAGAGGGGTGTAATATAGGAAAAGAGAGGGCTATACAAGATTGCAAATCTGTGCGGGAGCAGAAGAAGCTTGGGGATTCTGCGCACTGGAGAACGAAGAATGCATATGCTCAGTAATGGGGAGAATACGTTAGTAAGAGAGAGAGATTGTGTTTGTTTTATTTTTTTTTTAAATGATATGATTATGAGATAAAAAATAGTAAACTAATAACTAGTTTAAACTAATTTATATAGTTTATTGAAAAAAGATCAAAACGACCAATTGAACCATTTAATTAAATTTAATAAACAGAGATAGATGGGTAGCCTTCCAAAATATATAGTAAGATAACAAAATAGCTGATAGCGAGACACCCAAAGAGATCCGAAGAGGAAATATAAGTACCATCCTGTACCTTTTGGTTTGTGTCAGGGTCACTTTGAAGTCTTCTTCGGTTTTTTGAGCTACCTGTGCCACATTGACGGCTTCTGCTCACCTTACCCCTATATTTATTTACATATAGTACACGTATGTACCCAAGTTCTCGCCGTTTATCGGCTCCCGAAACAAACTAAACCAAACCGAACCGATACGATACAATCCGATCCGATCCATTGTGGGGCCCTACGGAATTGAAAATAAAAGCGACTTGAGCGCCGACGGCGCTAATCTGCGACTGCGGATCGCTCGAATTACAAACAGTTGTGCATATGTACCTTGTATATGGTGTACTATACGAGTATATGTGTACATTTTCGTTGCCGGGGCTGTGTTATAAAACACTGAATTGTTCGCTTTTGTTGTTCTATTATTGTCGTTTTTGGTGTTGCGCATGCGCGCTTTTGACCTGATTCACTTGCCGCTTATCAGCAGAAAAAAAAAGCGATCCAAGTTCGGTTGTCGCCGGTGCCATATACCCCTTAACTTACACATGATACGGGGGGTATGTGTCGAACTGGCTACATTGTTGACAGAAGTTAACAACCCTTTCAGAGAACTCCTTTGAGCTTGGGGTGACTTTTCGAGTATTTTATTTTGTCATAATATTAAAGCAATTGTTTTAAATGTCCTATTATTAGGGCATCTCACCCAAACTTACGTTTAAATAATTGAAAAACCAATACCGCATGGCCAACAAAAAATATTCGACTTAGATTAAGAGATTTTTGAATAAGATAAGATTTTTGAACTTATATATAAATCAATACATTTTTATTTTTGCAAATAACAAACTATTTTTAATATTTCTTTGGGAGCTTATAAATTCTGGGTACTGGGTATCTCTAGGTCTCTAAACGTTTTTTTTTCTTTTGAATATATATTAATATATAATATATTAATAGAAACTATTTTATTATTTCTTCAGGGATTGTTATTTATTATTATTTATTCTGGGTACTGGGTAATTCTAGGTCTCTAAACTTGCTAATATTTTTCTTTTCTTTCGGGCGACTCGTTTAAATTAGTTTGTTATCAAAAACCTGAGAACTAATTTCAGACATTCCACTCATTTTCTCTCTCGTTTTCTTCCAAACAGCTCTTATCACACTGCGCATGCGAATAAGACCTTCGGGAAGCCAGTGAAGAAGGTCTGAGGAGTGGAGAGGTGAGGAGCGGAGAGGATCAGGAGCAGGGATCAGGGAGGATCAGGGAGGACCGCACCGCCAAACTGGCCACCACAAGCTATCGGTTGGTCGTGGCGCCGGCGGGCAGCCAGCGGGGTTCGGCTGGCAATGTGGTGGTGACCACCACCACCACCTCCTCGGGCAGCAACTCCTCCAACGGGGGAGGGAATGGCGGAGGCAGTGGTGTGGGGGGCAGCGGTGCGGGCGGCGGTCTCAATGTGACCACCATCACAACGACGGGCGGCGGTGGCGGTGGCGGCCAATTGCAGAGTGCCGGCAACAGTTCGCAGAGCAACGGAACCACCTACAAAATCGAAATGCTCGATGAGGACATCCAGAGCCTGGGCTCCGACGACGACGACGAGGATCTGATCAGCAGCGATGGCAGTCTGTACGAGGGCGACCTGGGCTCCATGCCCGTCAACGATGATGTGGCCCACCAGTTGGCGGCCGCCGGACCAGTGGGCGTGGCCGCAGCGGCAGCCATCGCCAGTTCCAAGAAGCGCAAGCGACCGCACTGCTTCGAAACGAACCCATCGGTGCGGAAGCGGCAACAGAATCGCTTGCTACGCAAGCTGAGGGGCATCATCTATGAGTTTACGGGCAGGGTGGGCAAACAGGCGGTGGTGCTGGTGGCCACGCCGGGCAAACCCAACACCAGCTACAAGGTGTTCGGGGCCAAGCCGCTGGAGGATGTACTGCGCAACCTGAAGAACATCGTGATGGACGAGCTGGACAATGCACTGGCCCAGCAGGCGCCACCGCCGCCGCAGGACGATCCCTCGCTGTTCGAGTTGCCCGGCCTGGTCATCGATGGCATACCCACGCCCGTGGAGAAGATGACCCAGGCCCAGCTGCGCGCCTTCATCCCGCTGATGCTGAAGTACTCCACCGGCCGAGGGAAGCCCGGCTGGGGCAGGGAATCGACCCGACCGCCCTGGTGGCCCAAGGAGCTGCCGTGGGCCAATGTGCGCATGGATGCCCGCTCCGAGGACGACAAGCAGAAGGTGGGTGGGGTGGGTGTTCCAACAGCCGCCCCCTGTCTCCATTGGACTGGGCTAACCGGTGCTCCGTTTCCCCATTGCAGATCAGCTGGACGCATGCGCTACGCAAGATCGTGATCAACTGCTACAAGTACCATGGCAGGGAGGACCTGCTGCCCACCTTTGCTGACGACGAGGACAAGGTCAACGCCTTGATTTCGCAGTCGGGCGACGAGGACGAGGACATGGAGCTGTCGAATCCTCCCACCATCCACACAGTTACGACCATGACGCCGCCAACGGGCAACAGCAATGTGAGTATAGCATGGGTTCTGGATGCAGGGCTACTCATGGTTCTCATGGTGCTCATGGTACTCATGGTGCTCATGGTACTCATGGTACTCATGGTACTCATGGGGTGAGATATGATCAGTCATCTGCTCTGTAATTACCAAAAAAGAGTTGCCTTATATGATAGTTGCCTTAATCGATTAATACGATTAATATATGAAATCGATTACCGATTATCCCGATGGTCGGACCCTTTCGACCTTATCATGCCAACTAGCTTGCCTGCCATTCCTAACCGGGTTAACTCACACCCATCACTAATCCGCATACCCTGGCACTTGGAAGAGCATACCTATATCACGACCACATACTAATCCATCAAACAATCCAATCCAATTCAATTCAATCCACTCCAATGCAATCCGCAACGAATCACCGTCTCACAGCAACCGCAGCAGGTGAATGTGGTGAAGATCAACAGTGCTGGCACCGTGATCACAACCCACACGGCCCAGAGCAACACGCCAGCCCCTACGATCATCCAGAGCACCAACAACCAGCATGTGACCACGACGGCCACGCTGCCCGCCTCCACGAAGATCGAGATCTGTCAGGCGCCGGCCCAGCAGCAGCAACAGCACCACCAGCAGCAACAGCAGCAGCAGCACCACCAGACCCACTTGCCCAGCACGGTGCACATCCAGCCGGTGGCCGGCGGTCAGCCGCAGACAATACAGCTGACCACGGCCAGTGGCACGGCGACGGCCACCGCCGTGCCCACCACTGCAGCCGCCGTGAGTGCCGCCCAGGCCCACCAGCACCACCAGCAGCAGCAGCAGCAACAGCAGCAGCAACAGCAGCAGCACCACCAGCAGCATCAACAGCACCAGTCGAGTGGCAGCCAAACGGTCACCGCACAGCAGATCGCCAATGCCCAAGTCTGCATCGAGCCCATTACGCTCAGCGACGTTGATGTTCGTACTAATCCGGATGATGAATTGCCATTGCCCCCCGACTTGCCGTTGTGCCCACTAATCGAGCCGGGATCGGGGGTCGGAATATGCCAAACTATGCGCTCTAGGCATGCTGATCAGCCAGCAAATGATATGACAAGAGGAACACTCGTGATTAAAGACTGTAAAGAATGTATATCTAGTTTGGAGAGGATCATATTGGGATTAGCAGGAATTCTCATAGATGGATAGATTTCAGTTTTGCCCAAAAAGTAGTATGAAAATATGATATTTAAATAGGTTTTATATGCATATTTTACTTGAATTATAATCAGCCAGCAAAACATTCTTAGCAAGAATTCTAATAGATTTATATATTTAAATTATAAACTAAAAGTATAATGAAAAAGGAAGACCAAAAAGGTTTAACATGTATATTTCATTTGAATTTTAATCAGCAAACAAAACATTCCGAACTTATTTGGCATTAATTGAATAGTATGAAAATATTAATTAATAAAAGGAAATATCATTTAAAAATATGCATATATATATCTAAAGTAAATTTATAGATTTAAAGTTAAAAAGTTGCTAATGTGTGAAACAAAAAGTTTTAACATGCCTACTCAATGTGTATTTTAATCAACAAACAAAATATTCTTAGCTTAGGTGCCATTAATTGAATAGTTGCTATACTGATAACAAAATATAGGATTCACAATCTATGAAGTGCTCTAAAAACACTCTTTTGTATGAGTAATCACATTTGAAATCATCTGAATAATACAAATTTAAAGAGAGATTTTAAGGCAGACAATAATTCCTAAAGTATAAAACATTTCTAAGTACTTAAAGTATATTTATGGATTCCTCTGTTCACGAACTGAACCATAAAAAAGTCAAAAAAAATATAAGAATGTATTTTAGGAACATCTGTGCATAGTTTACATGTCTTGACCCACTTTTCCACAATTTTTATGTTCCACAAATTTTGTTTGGCTCAATCTTCCGTTGTTGCTTATCGTTAATTATTGATGTTGTTGCTCCCATTGATCCGATTATCCTTTTGATTTAACCTGATTTGATATGATTTTTTTTTGTGTTTGTTTGTCTTTCTTTTGCAGCTGGTTGTTATCGAGTTATTGGTTATTTTCATCATTATTTGCATCCACCACAAACCGAAAAATCGCACAATCGTCCCCACATGTAAATACGATTTAAGCCATTCCACAAACCCAAAAAAAAAAAAGAGAATAATTTCTTATTACCTTTATTTAATGCAGTATTTACTATGGCCTGCTTGTTTTGCATTTTGGTAGTGTTTCATTTTATTTTCATTACTGTGCTTAATTATGCTTTAGATATTCAATCTTCCCTTAAGTTATTTCGTTACTAATTTGGCTTCCTCCTTGCACACAGTACACCACGCAAACGGTGCTTTCCCAAAATGCCGATGGCACCGTGTCGCTGATCCAGGTGGATCCCAATAACCCCATCATCACACTGCCGGATGGAACCACTGCCCAGGTCCAAGGAGTTGCAACGGTGAGTCCATCATGCAATGCTGTTCGTTCTTGGGCGATTTTCGATTACATTTTCTATATTTACATTGAATAGCTCCACCAAGGCGAGGGCGGAGCCACCATTCAGACGGTGCAGAGTCTCACCGATGTCAATGGCCATGAAAACATGACCGTGGACCTGACCGAGACGCAGGATGGCCAAATATATATCACCACCGAGGATGGTCAAGGTAGTTATTAACCCTGCTTAATATAGGACTGAACTTATAAGTTATTGATTTGAAGAAGTATTTATTAACTACGAAAATTAGTTGTTGATTGCTTAAAGACTGTAATATATTGATGCTCTGACAAGTTCATGGCGTAAATAGTTTCAGAAACATGGAAAAAAAACCTTTTTCTGTACAGAGACCTGAGATAATCATACTTCTTTCTGTTTTTTTTTTTCTAACTAAAAAATCATCCTACTCCTATTTATTTAATCTTTTCAGAACCCCAATGATCATGTCTTGTTTTTTTTTTATTGACTATGCTCAATAATAATTCATACTTTTGTGTTTTTTTATATTTAACAGAAAGTAAAAATTACTTGAAAGCGAAACAAAAAATATCACACTGAAATAATGATTTTATGAACTTTTTATATAGAGTACCTAGCATTTAAAAATAAACCATGTTAATTAATATGACAATTCTAAATAGGTTTTGAGTCACAAGATTTAAACATTCAAAAAGTGAACTAATTAGTTATTGATTATGAAAGTATGGCATTGATTAGTAAAAAAAAGTTTGAGAAATATAAAAAAACAATAGCTTGTGACTTGCGCTTAAATTCCATATATTTATTAACAAAGGTTTTATATAAATAAATTGTATAGTTTAAATAGCAATTAAATTAAAGTTAATTTTACGAGTACTTTAAATAAGTAAAACATTATTTATTTATATACTTCTAACGCTTTCCCCTTGCTTTTCCAGGCTATCCCGTTTCGGTGAGCAATGTGATCTCGGTGCCCGTCTCCATGTACCAATCCGTGATGGCCAACATGCAGCAGATCCAGACGAACAGCGATGGAACGGTGTGCCTGGCGCCCATGCAGGTAGATACGAGTGCCAATCGCAGCAGTCAATCCACCGCCTCCGCCGCCGCCGCCAGTTGCTCCGCCTCATCCGCATTGGCGGCAAGTGGCGGTGGCGTTCAGTGCTATTCACTGATCTCGGCGGGATCGGCGGCGGTCCTGAGCCGTCGCAGTGGTGCGGTGGTGGGTCAACAGGTCGCCCCGGGCGGGCGGTACTACCTGGCCACTGCCACCACCACCAGTAGCAGTGCCACCAGTGGCAGCTCTGCCAGTGGCTTTGGCCAGCTGCACAACAACAATAACAGCAGTCTGGCGAATAACAATAACAACAACAATAGCATAAAGATGCCCATGCCCATGCCCATAGTGCTGGCCACGCCTAGTCTTCCGCAGGTGGCCAGCACGAGGTCCACCAGGAGGGGCGGTGGTGGAGGAGGAGGAGTAGCTGCTGCTGCTGATGTGCTGCTTCAAAAGCGAAGGAAACCGAATGCCTCGCTGAAGAACAGGTCCTCCCATTTGAAAGCCAGTGATGAGAGCGGCTGCTCTTCGGGCAACTCCTCTGCCTCCATTCGCTGCGTAGATAGCGCCAGTTTGACCAGTGTGCAGCTCCAACTGCCGGCCATCAAGCTGGAGCACCTGGAATAGGCTCCTCCGTTCCCCATCCTCAATCCCAAATAATCCAGCCCATCTCGAATCTAGTCAAATGCGGCTTTGCACAAAACACAAAACAAAAAGGAAACAGAAAATGAGACAAAATATATGAATATATATACGAGGGAAACGCACGAATGCACTTGCCATTTAAATTTAGATGAATGCCAAAAACAAAAAAAAACAAAAACAAAAAAAAAACCCAAATGAATTAGTAGAACCAAGGGGAAAACCCCAGATATACTAACTATACGAATTGAATTTAGGACCGAGAAGAGAGGAAACCAAAACATTTGTTGATAATTGAAACCAAAAACCAAAATCAAAACTAAAAATCAAAAACTACAACTAAAATTGTTCCTAGTTAAACAGAGCTACAAATCATTTAAACATTTTCTAGTTATAGCCATTTGTTTAGTAGTTAAGTAGTGGAGAGTACATAGGTATATGTTATCGTGCACATAATCTTGCTTAGAGCGCAACACAAACCAAATATTAACCAATTTAAGTTGTACAATTGGGTTAGTTTTAGCCAGTAAGTAGTAAAGCAAACACAGGGATCAGCCAGCGTAGATGTTAGACGTACACTTCTTGTCACCTCGTGCAGCCACCCGTTTTTGACCCCTTGACCTTTTCACCTTTTGACCTAATGACCCACCAATCGAATCCCTGAAACGTAGTCAATTTGCATTGAAAATGCCCAAAAGCAGGGGAACGAGTTTGCCATCGGAGCTAATTAGCTTTAGAAGTCGGGAGTTAAAATATGTGCTATATATAATATATATAGGGAGGCGATATTCGATATATTCACCTCAAAAAGTGCGTGCAAAATTAATTTTATGTTGATCTATAACTATTATCATTATTATTGCTATTTGCTATTGTGTTTTATTCAAATCATTATGACTATTACTATTACTATTACTATTACTATTACTATTATCATTATTATTGTGTTTACATGTTTTATTTTTTATATATCGCTATTATTTTAATTGTTTTAGAGAAAATTTTATGTTTAAACAAACTAAAAGTGAAGTGCAAAGAAAAAGGAGCGAATGAAAAGCCAACAAATTTTATTGAATAAATCTTTTGTTGTTGTGATTTTATTATAATTTGACTTTTAATTATTTTCCTAGTATATATTGTGTAAGCTGAAATGCTAAATAAAGCCAGCAAATTATTGTAAATATTATGATTATTTTTTATTTATTGTTAAATAGGCCTGATTTATCGTTGAATTGGTGTAAGTATTTTTGTTACTATTACAAATTGCTTTTTATGTATTTTTTATGCTTTCTTTTCTTTATTTCTTTTTTCGCCAGACAGAGACTGAAGAATATTGAAGGAGCCCACCGATTGTAAAAGCCCATACTTGTGAATATTTAACTAATTTTGCGCAACTTCTTTTGTGCCCATTAGGTGGAGAATGGCGACCAACTGGAGACGATCACCATGTCGCCCGGCATGCACCAGATGATGATCCAGGGCGGTCCTGGCCAGGAGCCGCAGCTGGTGCAGGTGGTCAGCCTGAAGGACGCCACCCTACTGAGCAAGGCCATGGAGGCCATCAATTCCGGCAACGTGAAGTCGGAGGACACGATCATAATGGAGCAATAGCTGGAGCCCATAGACGGCATGATCTCGCCCGGATTGAGCGAGTGACGTGCCGTATGCGTATTCGTTTCCGAATCCGAATCACCCGGAATGCGCAGCTCTCCTGGCTGAGAAGACAACCCCAATTCCTTGAAAGCTAAGGGGTTCCAAGTACCTGAAAGGTGTTGCTAACAAAGGGAGGAGCAAATCGGAACCCCAACCATAAAACCATGAACCATGAACCATCAACCATCTAGTCGTCGCATGTCTAGTCAAGAGAGCGTGCTCTGTATAAAGCGATCAATCAGTCTAGTCTTCGCATAGAAAATTATCTTTAATTACTCGTAATTGTAAAACCAAAACCCTATCATTAACCCGACCGACCACCCTTCCTTTTTTTTTTTTTTTTTTGTGTGCTGTTCCTTCATTTTTTGTGGCTCTATAAATAGTTCAATTCTGGGCTGGATACTCATAGCTATAATATATCGTAACATACATATGCCTATGTGTAAGCATTATAAGCGTTACTTGTACGTACAACTCTGTCTCTCTCTCTCTCTTTATATATATGGTATATATACTCGTGTAACGTTTGCAATAATTAACCAATTGAATATTTAACGAAACGAGAGAGCAGAGATTACAAATTAATTATACAATTTAGGACAACTGACGAAGAAGAAGCCCATGCAATGTAAACAGAGAGCATCACTTTAAACTTAATTAAATTACCTAATTACTAAAGATAACGAAACCTATGCATAATAACTATCGAATAAACCCAAAAAGTGTACGACAAGTCTGACTCTGTGGGACCTCTGATATTCAATGGAGAAAGGATGAAGATGCGATCGGTGTTTCATAAGTGCTGCTGTCGGGCAGGATGTGCGGCTCTCGATTCAATGATTTATTTGGCCGGCCCATCGAAGCAGGAAACTCGCTGGTGACGCAACAATCCGGAAACCACTGGAAGGTTGCCCGCCAAACAGCACTACTCTTGGCCTGATCCGCTGAGTGTTTCGCTTTTGTCTCGCTGCTGGCCAGAAAACCCAGCTTCGATACGAAAATTACATGCCAAAATGTGGGCACACACCGAAAGTATCATAAGTTCATAGAGGCAGCAAACACGTTTGTTTCGCCTGCGCTGCATTGTTATTTAAACGAAGCCCGCGGAACGTTGACCCGCTGCTCCACTACACTACTGCAACTGGGTGGCCAGGTTTTCGAGGAGGGAAGACCCAAATACGGCCACCATTGGAACTGCATCGCATCTGGGGAACTGTAATAGGTCGAGGTGCTGCGCTTCCTCGTTGCATGTTGCTGGTTGCTACAAGTTGCTCTGGGCCTAAACTTCACAGAAGACAACAACAGCTTCACTTAATTTAGCAGGTAAATACCCTTTTAATTTATTGGTTGTTTAAATTATACTATTTAAGTGGGCTCTCTACTTCAAAACTTTCCAATAAAGCATACTTTTTAAATCACTACAAAGAACCCAATTGGTCTGCATTTAAAATATTATTTCTTTTGTAAGAATATTTTAGGAGTAGTCTTTAAAAAGGTTGCAAGTTGTTCAACACCTAAACGTAATTTCGCCGGGTAATATCGATTTATTTTAAAATTATACTACCTTACCTTGAAATTAAACTCATAGTTTTAGGCTAAAAAAGAACACTGGACACTGTATTTTTTTTTTCTGCTTTGCAAATTTTAAAATATTTTTATGTAAAATATGGCAGCACCTAGAAACTTTTGGGGAGTTTATTTTAGAAAATATTTGTAGGTGTTTCAGAGAGATTTTGTCGGAAATTAAAACACTTTTGAATTAATGACTTTTTTTTGCTGGTTGCAAGTTGCTCCGTGTCAACTTGTTTATTGACTTATAACAATAATACATTTAAAAATGTTACAATTACTCATTCTTCAAATCACCAAAAAAATATTAATTTTATTTTTGGCTTAAAGAAATTTTTTAAAATTGCTATGTAAAATTAAGCACCTCCAAGAATCATTAATTAATATTCTTTTAAATAATATGTTTAGATTTTTAAAAAAGATTTGGTCGAAAAACTGCAACCAAAACACTCTTGAATTTATACCTTTCATTTAAGTTAACCTGTTCATAATGGCAGTGTGTGTCGTGCCATTGACGTTGATCCCATCTTAAACGCCTCGCAACCGAATCATCAGTTGTCTGCTGCTTAAGAGTTGGACACGTCCAACAATCTGGGATCAAAATCCGTCCCCTTTGGCTTACCTTCAGCGGTTTTTGGGATACGATGTTGCGTCTTCGGCCGGCAACTTGCAACTCGGCACTTGGGATTTGCAACAGCAACTGACGACGACAGCAGCAATGTGCAACTTGCAACTTGCGTTGGAAATTCACGTCTGGGTCGTTGCAATTGACGCCAGTTAGTTTACTTTGTTTAAGCCGCCTTTTTCCCACCTTTTCCCCCCTTTTCCCACCTTTTCCACCCTTCTCCATGTGTCACCGTAACCATCACCTTCCACCCATTTTCTATACGTATTTGGCGTATTGTGTATTGTGTAAGACATGCTGATGCGGGATTTATTATACCGCTCAAATTGCACTTTCGTTTGGGAACCATCTGCAATTAGTGAACTGTGGCCACGCCCCCGAAAATGGCGCTAAAACCGCCCACCATTTCCAGGGCTTCTTAACAAAAGAAAAAGGCGTATTTTTGCATGTTAATTGCATTTGATGGGAGTTGAAAAAACTCATATATGCAAATGCTTTTTATGGCGGAAAGTTAAAAAAGTTGTGTCACCGAATCAATTTATATTTAGTGTGTTAGGAAAGTCATTCGCTTGTTGTTTGAATTTTATGCCAGACGTTTGTATAATATGTTGTTTTAATTGGTGTCCATGCATTTTACACATTTATTTTATATTTCATTTGAAATTTTTAGTGTGTTATTTATTGAAAAAAATTTTATTTTACCTTCCTGCCCATTTTCAGCATATTTTGAAAACTATCAAATTTACGGTGATGGTTTTTAAATTGAATTTTCGTACCTGTGCTAAATAGGCTTTACCACTTTTAACTTTAACACCCTCGTCTCTGGGCAATTAAACAGCTGAATTATGACTTACCTTTTATGTCCGTAGTGTGTATTAAAAATAAATATACATTGTTGTTTAGTAATATCATTTTTAAAGGATGGGCCGATGCTGTTAAGGTAGTTTTACTTTGGCCAAGTGCCAGCAGGTCTCGACGTTACAGCCAGTAGATGTTTTTCCTCGGATCAACCTGAAAAATTAACATAATGCATTTTCCCTGCCCTGATCAACCATCTCAATTGCACCATGACAAATCGGGGTTTTTGGCCAATTTGTCTGCCCATTTTTTGGTCATATTTTGGAATATTTTTTTTTCTGCGGTGATTTGGCTGCATCGAATGCGCCGTCGTCACGCCCAAAATGATGGATCGACTGGCCATTTTGATCGTCGGGCTTTGTCATCGTTTTGGGGCCAAATTGCCAACGATATCCTCCAGATGCAAATCAAATAATGGCATCAAGTGAACAACGCCGCAAGTTGCAAGTTGGCCTGATCTTGCTGTTGTGACCGGCGATGCTGCTGCGGCAGTTGCAGTTGCTGCTACGGATTATGCAATGGGAAAGGTGCAGCAGCAGCAGCAGCAGCAACTTGTCTGCCGGGAGATGCGCTTGTATAGCAATACAAACAAATCTTGGGCCGGTTGCAAACTGTTGCAGATGCGACAATCGAATGCAGTCGCAGTTATGAGTTGTCTGCAGCTTTCGCCTGCTGTCTTACTGTCTACTGTATACTGTCTACTGCCACCCCCAACCCCATCCTAACAGGCCAACAGCCCGAAACTAAGGCCCATTCCCTGAATCCTCCGCCCTGACTAATGGTGACTTCGCGACGATGATGCGGCAGCATTTGGCCCACATTGCGCCAATGCGCTCGTGAGCCAGCTACAGAGAGAGAAAATATATACTATTAATTCAATTTGAACTTATTTTTAAAATGAACAATTCATATTAAACTTTTATTTTTATGTTTAAAAACAAAAACGAAGTGACTGAAAAATGGTTTTGAAATACAGAAAATATACTTTGTGATATAAAAAGTCTCTTCGTAAATAATAATTATTTATTAACACAAAACGAAATCTTATTTTAAATAAATATATATATATATATATTTTTAAATACCATAAATTTACCTTATGATAAACAAGAAAGAAAGCAAACTTCGGCAAGCCGAAGTTCATATACCCTTGCAGCTATTGCAAGAATTTAAAATTTTTGAAAACATTGAAATTATGATTTACTGCGTATATGTTTAAAAACATTGAAGCTATGATGATTAGCAGCTCAATTATTTGATAGTTATTTTATATATTTTTATTATTTCTATGGGAGCTATATGATATAGACGTCCGATTTTGATAAAATCTAAACCATAATTTTGAAAAATTTAACCATTGCTATATGTCGAAGAACTGAACAAAAAATTAAAAAACAGAAAAGTTATAATTTTTTTCATTTATTTTTCCGATTGTTCCTATGGGAGCTATATGCTATAGTCGTCCGATTTTGATATAATTTAAACCGTTAATAGAAAATATTTAACCATTACTAAGTGTCGAAGGACTAAACAAAAAATTAAAAAACAGCAAAGTTATAATTTTTTTCATTTATTTTTCCGATTGTTCCTATGGGAGCTATATGCTATAGTCGTCCGATTTTGATGAAATTTAAACCGTAAATCGGAAATATTTAACCATTACTATACGTCGAAGAACAAAACAAAAAATTAAAAAACAGCAAAGTTATAATTTTTTTTCATTTATTTTTCCGATTGTTCCTATGGGAGCTATATGCTTTAGTCGTCCGATCCGGCTCGTTCCGACTTATATACTACCTGCAATAGAAAGACAACTTTTGGGAAAGTTTCATGCAGCTAGCTTTAAAACTGAGAGACTAGTTTGCATATAAACGGACGGACAGACGGACAGACGGACAGACTGACAGACGGACAGACGGACGGACAGACGGACATGGCTAGATCGACTCTACTAGTGATGCTGATCAAGAATATATATACTTTATGGGGTCGGAGATGTCTCCTTCACTGCGTTGCAAACTTCTGACTGAAATTATAATACCCTCTGCAAGGGTATAAAAAGTATCTTTCTAAATATTACATATTTATTTAAATATAAGAACAAATTACTTTCTTAAATTAAAACAAAATCTTATTTTAATTTCTAACATAGAGATAAAAAACAGCAGTGTATTCAAATCGCCCAACTTAAAATATCCCTTAAATTGGATAATATGTATGTTTTTCAGAGTTCAGCATGGATTTAAACGAAAACTTAATACAACATAAAAAATATTCCTTTTTTTCTTGCAGTGCCTCAGCAGCACCTCCAACATCTGCCGACCGCACGGTGAGCGTGGAAAATAGTTTTTCCTTTTGCTTTCTGCTAGAGCCAAGCTTTTCCGGTTAATGTTATGTTGCCGGTGGTTGGTATAAAAACTGTGGCTGCCATCGGTGGTCATGTCAGTTGTGGATTCGCACTTAACCCACTAGTTAACCCAAACGGAGCGTTCCAAGCGATGAAAGTACGACCAGGATAACTACAGAATTATTTATCATTATTGCGCATACGCACCGTGTTCTCTCAATTTTTTTCAAGTGATTTTCATTGAGTGTTATTGTTTTTTTTTTTGTTTTACGTTTCAGGCCTTCGTGTGTCTTCTGCTTATTGGAGTGGCCAGTGTGACTGGAAAACCAAAGCCTCCGGGAGGCGGCGGTTGGTCCTCTGGAGGAGGAGGAGGAGGAGGTGGCTGGTCCTCTGGAGGAGGAGGAGGAGGTGGCTGGTCCTCTGGAGGAGGAGGTGGGGGGCGGCCATGGGGGGAGGAGGAGGCGATGTACAGATCATTAAAGTGATCACGGAGAGCGGCGGCGGAGGTGGCGGCGGCGGTTGGTCTTCCGGAGGAGGAGGCGGCGGCGGTTGGTCTTCCGGAGGAGGAGGCGGCGGCGGCTGGTCTTCAGGAGGCGGCGGCGGAGGAGGCGGCGGCTGGTCTTCAGGAGGCGGCGACGGAGGCGGCGGCGATGTGAAGCTCATTAAGATCATAAGCCTGGGATCCGGAGGCGGCGGCGGCGGCGGCGGCTGGTCTTCAGGAGGAGGTGGTGGCGGCGGAGGCGGTTGGTCTTCAGGTGGAGGCGGCGGCGGCGGACACGGGGGCGGCGGCGGTGGTGGCTCCAAGGTCATCAAGATCATCAAGCTGAGCTCTGGAGGAGGAGGCGGTGGCCACGGTGGCGGCGGTGGTGGCGGTTGGTCTTCAGGAGGAGGCGGCGGCGGCGGTTGGCAGCCCGCTGGAGGATGGGCATAGAATACATGCCCAAAAACCTAGGAAGCCATCGAAGCAATCCACCCCCACTCTTGTAAATACTGTACATATCCAGAAGCTATTGTTTTTTTGTTACTATGCCCCAGAGAACTGTTACTAAATTAAGCATGAGTCTTTGCTTGAAATGCACAAATTGAATATTAAATAAATGTACCCTTAAACTGTGACTCTTTAAAGGCCATTATTGTTTTGTATATAGCCAAATACAAAAATTCAAAATATATGTAAAAAATTATGATGCATGGGTATGACTTTTATTGTTATGCTTTCAATGTTTACAAAGTTGGTATTGTATCACAAATATTTAAACCTTTTCTTGTTAAAAAAAAAATCTTGTAACAGCAAAAATATGCAACACTTAAATGAAATAAAGAAAGAGCTTAAAGTTGGTAAAAGCTTATTCAGTGAATCTTTGGGCAGCCATGCATTTAGTAGGATAGCCCAAGAGTATCCTACAAACTGCATAGCTGCCCAACGAAAGATTTTCTATTGATTTTCTATTCTGTTCAAGAATACATGAATTAAAAATCCTTTTTGGATTAAAAAAGACGTGGCTGTCTATTTTTGACTTGGAAGAGGAAATGGTGGTCAAAGAGGCTGCCATCCCAAATAAATTTCTTAATTTTAACAACAAAAATTATTTTCTCAACTAAAAAAGTTGTTAATTTTAAGACTTTGCAAAAAAATGGTTGTTTTGTTTGTTAGTTAGGTTTTGTAAGTGTTAAGCCAAATTTATCTGCAACAAGAAATCCTTAACAAAGACTCTCAATGGCAATATGAATTGTGTCTACATTTTTACAGCGAGTTAGCCCAGGTAGTCATGCATTAGTTGGACTGTGAACCGGATTCCCTTCATTGAAAGCCCAGGAAATATGGGACTTCCTTGAGGCAACTGATTCAATTGCGGGGATTTTCGCGATTTTACAAAATAAACTTATGCGACTCAGCTAGCCAATTGCTTCTCACATACTGATGAGCCTCGAATGGAATCAATTGGTTCTTTCAACGAAGTTCGAATACGCTTACTTTTTATAGAACCTTATTTAAGACTTAGCCTTGGCATATTTTTATCATCAGACTAATGGCTATTAGCGGGTGCAGGTTATCTTTTGGTTGGACCCTTGATTCTAATTATAAATCCAATTGACTATACTGGTTTTCTCCCTTCCCAATATATCCACCACTATATCCGATTCTCTCCCATTTGGCAGATGAGTAAGAGGGATTTTCCAGCAGATGTCATGCATATAATTGCTGATACTCTGACTGATTTTCGGGTACACCTGGCGTATGCGTAATGTTCACATGATTGTTTAATAGAAATTATTCTATGCAAATATGCTTAAGAAAAGATGTTGCCCAATATTTAAATTCTTAGGTGCTATAATCCGAATTTTAATTGATTTTGTGGTTAAGCACATCAATAGTAACAAATTTAATAAAATTATGGTGAACATCAAAGCTTATTAATATTCTAGGCAAGTGGATACCTTTTTTTTGGTCTATTTAAAACTTGTTAAAAATCTTGTCTTGACCCCGAAAAACTAAGCTGGATTTTAAATATGATTTTGGGCATATAAAAATCAGGAAAATAAAAGATCCACTTCTGAAAAAACATTGGGCCAAAAACACATTTATGTAAAACTAGTCAGAGCATTGGTAAGTCCCCGATTTTAGTTTCTTCACTGACCCATTGAGTAATTAATGTTTAATGCCCGCCGGCTTTCGTTACATTGCTTTCTAGGTAAACTCCCCGATCTTTTCAAACACGATCGGCTGAGAGAATTCGATGGCTCCCAGCGATGACGACAACGTTGCGATGGCTAACAATGGATGTCATATATAAAGCGGAATGCATTCTAAATTGGGATGACTAGTTGGTCACCAGCTGTAGCTTTGAATAGAACGGATTAGAACGGAGCATCAGCAAACCGGAACCGGGAACAGCAATATCTACTAATCACCCAAGATGAGGCACTGGCTCATCTTTGCCTTTTGGCTGGTAATCCTGGCCAGCTGCGTGGACTTCACCACTCCGTCGCTTTTGGCGCTAAAGAAGAAGCTGTTTGGCGGGGGTCACGGAGGAGGAGGAGGAGGATGGGGAGGAGGAGGTGGAGGTGGAGGAGGATGGGGAGGAGGAGGCGGCGGGGGCAATAACGGAGGCAGTGGATATCATGGCGGTGGCGGTGGCCATTATGGAGGTGGCGGTGGCCATCCGAGTGGAGGAGGCAGTACCATTGAGGTCTATCTGGTCAAGCCAATCTACCGCGGAGGAGGAGGAGGAGGTGGCCACCACGGCGGCGGAGGAGGCGGCTACCATGGCGGAGGCGGCGGCGGGGGAGGACCTTCCCAGTGGGGCGGAGGCGGCGGCGGAGGACCTTCCCAGTGGGGCGGAGGCGGCGGCGGAGGCGGTGGCGGTGGCTCCTACGCCAGCAGCAGTGCTAACGCAAATAGCTGGAGCTCCGGAGGAGGAGGAGGTGGCTGCCATTCTTGTGGCGGCGGCGGAGGAGGTGGAAGTAGCTCCTACGCCAAGGCTTCGGCGAACGCATATGCAGGCAACTGGTAAAATTCCACACCTCCAAAGGATTTCCACCCTGTTTACCATTACTTTTTTTTTAATAACTTGTAAGCTTATCAGTGAACAAATAAAAAGTTGTGAAATCAAACACTACATTTAGTGACTGTTTTGAATCGCTGGCGACCCATACTACCCATCCCCAATCGGTTTATAAAATAAATTTAGTTTTGATGCAAAAACAAATTTTTAAAAATCGATTTTTCAAAGAAATTAATTTTATGACCAATTTTTGCATTTTTGATAAGGGTTGGGGGTCATTAATTTTTTCAAAATTTTGAAAATCTGAAAAATTTTTAACTGCGAATGCCATTTGATAGGCAATTTAATGACGAATTCATCGATGTATGACATTCCAACATGTGACTATTACTTCTCAGCGTTTTGATAGAAAAACTGATTTTTTAGGGGTTTTTTTTAGGTTTTTGGAGACTTGTCAAAAAACAAAATCCGAAAGAGTCCTTTCGGTGTAACTTGGACAAAATTAGACGTACAGCCAAAGAAGTGACTGTTTTGTATAGTTGGCGACCTATACTACCCAACCACAATCGGTTTAGAAAAATAAATAAGTTTTGTTGCAAAAACAGATTTTTAAAAATCGATTTTTTGAAGAAATTAATTTTATGATCAATTTTTGCATTTTTGATAAGGGTGGGGGTCATCAATTTTTTGCAGAAATTTGAAAATCTGAAAATTTTTTAACTGTGAATGCCAGTCGATTGGAAATTTTATTACGAATTCAACGGTGTATGACATTCCACATTTTAACCATTATTTCCCAGGGTTTTGACACAAAAACCAAGTTTTTAATGTGTTTTTTGGGGTTTTTGGCGATTTTTAAAACAAAATTAATTCTGAAGCGTCTTTTTGTTGTAACTTTGCCAAAATAAGACCCAAAGTCAAAAGAGTTGCTATTTTGAACAGCTGGCAACCTATATGATCCACCCCGGATCGATTGAAAACAATTAATTTAGTTTTGACACAACAACCGAATTTTGAAAAACGATTTTTTAAAGATTTATTTCTGTCCATATTTCTGACTTTTTTGTAAGGGGGTACATCATCATTTTTTGCAGAAATTTGAAAATCTGAACAAATTTTAGCTGAGAATGCCATTCGATTGGAAATTTTATTACGAATTCAACGGTGTATGGCATTCCACATTTTGACCATTGTTTCCAAGGGTTTTGACACAAAAACCAAGTTTTTAATGTGTTTTTTTGGGATTTTTGGTGATTTTTCAATCAAAATTATTTCTGAAGAGTTTTTTTGTTGTAACTTTGCCAAAATAAGACCCAAAGTCAAAAGAGTTGCTATTTTGAACAGTTGGCAATCCATACCATCCATCCCTGATCGATTGAAAACAATTAATTCAGCTTTGACGCTAAAACCGAATTCTGAAAAACGTTTTTTGAACAATTTATTTATGTCCAAATTTCTGACTTTTTTGTAAGGGGGTACATCATCATTTTTTGCAGAAATTTGAAAATCTGAACAAATTTTAGCTGAGAATGCCATTCGATTGGAAATTTTATTACGAATTCAACAGTGTATGGCATTCCACATTTTGACCATTGTTTCTAAGGGTTTTGACACAAAAACCAAGTTTTTAATGTGTTTTTTTGGGATTTTTGGTGATTTTTCAATCAAAATTATTTCTGAAGAGTTTTTTTGTTGTAACTTTGCCAAAATAAGACCCAAAGTCAAAAGAGTTGCTATTTTGAACAGTTGGCAATCCATACCATCCATCCCTGATCGATTGAAAACAATTAATTCAGTTTTGACGCAAAAACCGAATTCTGAAAAACGTTTTTTGAACAATTTATTTATGTCCAAATTTCTGACTTTTTTGTAAGGGGGTACATCATCATTTTTTGCAGAAATTTGAAAATCTGAACAAATTTTAGCTGAGAATGCCATTCGATTGGAAATTTTATTACGAATTCAACGGTGTATGGCATTCCACATTTGGACCATTGTTTCCAAGGGTTTTTACACAAAAACCAAGTTTTTAATGTGTTTTTTGGGATTTTTGGTGATTTTTCAAACAAAATTATTTCTGAAGAGTCTTTTTGTTGTAACTTTGCCAAAATAAGACCCAAAGTCAAAAGAGTTGCTATTTTGAACAGCTGGCAACCCATACCATCCATCCCTGATCGATTGAAAACAATTAATTCAGCTTTGACGCTAAAACCGAATTCTGAAAAACGTTTTTTGAACAATTTATTTATGTCCAAATTTCTGACTTTTTTGTAAGGGGGTACATCATCATTTTTTGCAGAAATTTGACAATCTGAACAAATTTTAGCTGAGAATGCCATTCGATTGGAAATTTTATTACGAATTCAACGGTGTATGGCATTCCACATTTGGACCATTGTTTCCAAGGGTTTTGACACAAAAACCAAGTTTTTAATGTGTTTTTTGGGGTTTTTGGTGATTTTTCGACCAAAATTATTTCTGAAGAGTCTTTTTGTTGTAACTTTGCCAAAATAAGACCCAAACTCAAAAGAGTTGCTATTTTGAACAGCTGGCAACCCATACCATCCATCCCTGATCGATTGAAAACAATTAATTCAGCTTTGACGCTAAAACCGAATTCTGAAAAACGTTTTTTGAACAATTTATTTATGTCCAAATTTCTGACTTTTTTGTAAGGGGGTACATCATCATTTTTTGCAGAAATTTGACAATCTGAACAAATTTTAGCTGAGAATGCCATTCGATTGGAAATTTTATTACGAATTCAACGGTGTATGGCATTCCACATTTGGACCATTGTTTCCAAGGGTTTTGACACAAAAACCAAGTTTTTAATGTGTTTTTTGGGATTTTTGGTGATTTTTCAAACAAAATTATTTCTGAAGAGTCTTTTTGTTGTAACTTTGCCAAAATAAGACCCAAACTCAAAAGAGTTGCTATTTTGAACAGCTGGCAACCCATACCATCCATCCCTGATCGATTGAAAACAATTAATTCAGCTTTGACGCTAAAACCGAATTCTGAAAAACGTTTTTTGAACAATTTATTTATGTCCAAATTTCTGACTTTTTTGTAAGGGGGTACATCATCATTTTTTGCAGAAATTTGAAAATCTGAACAAATTTTAGCTGAGAATGCCATTCGATTGGAAATTTTATTACGAATTCAACGGTGTATGGCATTCCACATTTGGACCATTGTTTCCAAGGGTTTTTACACAAAAACCAAGTTTTTAATGTGTTTTTTGGGATTTTTGGTGATTTTTCAAACAAAATTATTTGTGAAGAGTCTTTTTGTTGTAACTTTGCCAAAATAAGACCCAAAGTCAAAAGAGTTGCTATTTTGAACAGCTGGCAACCCATACCATCCATCCCTGATCGATTGAAAACAATTAATTCAGCTTTGACGCTAAAACCGAATTCTGAAAAACGTTTTTTGAACAATTTATTTATGTCCAAATTTCTGACTTTTTTGTAAGGGGGTACATCATCATTTTTTGCAGAAATTTGACAATTATTATAACAAAATTATTTCTGAAGAGTCTTTTTGTTGTAACTTTGCCAAAATAAGACCCAAAGTCAAAAGAGTTGCTATTTTGAACAGCTGGCAACCCATACCATCCATCCCTGATCGATTGAAAACAATTAATTCAGCTTTGACGCTAAAACCGAATTCTGAAAAACGTTTTTTGAACAATTTATTTATGTCCAAATTTCTGACTTTTTTGTAAGGGGGTACATCATCATTTTTTGCAGAAATTTGAAAATCTGAACAAATTTTAGCTGAGAATGCCATTCGATTGGAAATTTTATTACGAATTCAACGGTGTATGGCATTCCACATTTTGACCATTGTTTCCAAGGGTTTTGACACAAAAACCAAGTTTTTAATGTGTTTTTTGGGATTTTTGGTGATTTTTCAAACAAAATTATTTCTGAAGAGTCTTTTTGTTGTAACTTTGCCAAAATAAGACCCAAAGTCAAAAGAGTTGCTATTTTGAAGAGCTGGCAACCCATACCATCCATCCCTGATCGATTGAAAACAATTAATTCAGCTTTGACGCTAAAACCGAATTCTGAAAAACGTTTTTTGAACAATTTATTTATGTCCAAATTTCTGACTTTTTTGTAAGGGGGTACATCATCATTTTTTGCAGAAATTTGAAAATCTGAACAAATTTTAGGTGAGAATGCCATTCGATTGGAAATTTTATTACGAATTCAACGGTGTATGGCATTCCACATTTGGACCATTGTTTCCAAGGGTTTTGACACAAAAACCAAGTTTTTAATGTGTTTTTTGGGATTTTTGGTGATTTTTCAAACAAAATTATTTCTGAAGAGTCTTTTTGTTGTAACTTTGCCAAAATAAGACCCAAAGTCAAAAGAGTTGCTATTTTGAACAGCTGGCAACCCATACCATCCATCCCTGATCGATTGAAAACAATTAATTCAGCTTTGACGCTAAAACCGAATTCTGAAAAACGTTTTTTGAACAATTTATTTATGTCCAAATTTCTGACTTTTTTGTAAGGGGGTACATCATCATTTTTTGCAGAAATTTGAATCTGAACAAATTTTAGCTGAGAATGCCATTCGATTGGAAATCTTATTACGAATTCAACGGTGTATGGCATTCCACATTTTGACCATTGTTTCCAAGGGTTTTGACACAAAAACCAAGTTTTTAATGTGTTTTTGGGATTTTTGGTGATTTTTCAAACAAAATTATTTGTGAAGAGTCTTTTTGTTGTAACTTTGCCAAAATAAGACCCAAAGTCAAAAGAGTTGCTATTTTGAAGAGCTAGCAACCTATACCATCCGTCCCCGATCGATTTAAGACAATAAATTTTGTTTTGACACAAAAACAGAATTTAGAAAGACGTTTTTTAAAAAAATTATATTTGTCCAAGTTTGTGGATTTTTTGTAAGGAGGTACATCATCATTTTTTTCGAAAATTTGAAAGTCAGAAAAAATGTTATCTGTGAATGCCATTCGATTGGCAATTT